AGAGAACATCCATTACCTAACCTCAACGAGACAATCTACAGGAGACGCAAACCAAAACAAGTTTACACTACAGTCCATCCTTTTCTGCTTCATAACAACACCAACTCCACCAGGAGTACTCAGCTGCTTCAAACAAACAACAGAGAGCTAAAGATCAAAACAAAAAGAACGGTGAACCGTGGAGGGCTTCTGGTTACACACGCACACACACACATACACACCTAGTTACACAAGCACACACACACATACACACCTAGTTACACAAGCACACACACACTCACATACACACCTAGTTACACAAGCACACACACACACATAGACACCTAGTTACACAAGCACACACACACATACACACCTAGTTACACAAGTACACACACACATACATACACGCCTAGTTACACAAGCACACACACACACACATACACACCTAGTTACACAAGCACACACACACACACCTAGTTACACAAGCACACACACACACACATACACACCTAGTTACACAAGCACACACACACACCTAGTTACACAAGCACACACACACACACCTAGTTACACAAGCACACACACACACCTAGTTACACAAGCACACACACACACACCTAGTTACACAAGCACACACACACACACACACCTAGTTACACAAGCACACACACACATACACACCTAGTTACACAAGCACACACACACACTCACATACACACCTAGTTACACAAGCACACACACACACTCACATACACACCTAGTTACACAAGCACACACACACACTCACATACACACCTAGTTACACAAGCACACACACACTCACATACACACCTAGTTAAACAAGCACACATACACACTCACATACACACCTAGTTACACAAGCACACACACACACCTAGTTACACAAGCACACACACACACACCTAGTTACACAAGCACACACACCTAGTTACACAAGCACACACACACACACCTAGTTACACAAGCACACACACACACCTAGTTACACAAGCACACACACACACTCACATACACACCTAGTTACACAAGCACACATACACACTCACATACACACCTAGTTACACAAGCACACACACACACTCACATACACACCTAGTTACACAAGCACACACACACTTACATACACACCTAGTTACACAAGCACACACACACACTCACATACACACCTAGTTACACAAGCACACACACACTCACATACACACCTAGTTACACAAGCACACATACACACTCACATACACACCTAGTTACACAAGCACACACACACACCTAGTTACACAAGCGCGCACACACACACCTAGTTACACAAGCACACACACACACCTAGTTACACAAGCACACACACACCTAGTTACACAAGCACACACACACACTCACATACACACCTAGTTACACAAGCACACGCACACACTCACATACACACCTAGTTACACAAGTACACACGCACACACTCACATACACACCTAGTTACACAAGCACACACACACACACACTCACATACACACCTAGTTACACAAGCACACACACACACACTCACATACACACCTAGTTACACAAGCACACACACACACTCACATACACACCTAGTTACACAAGCACACACACACACCTAGTTACACAAGCACACACACACACCTAGTTACACAAGCACACACACACACACACCTAGTTACACAAGCACACACACACTCACATACACACCTAGTTACACAAGCACACACACACACACTCACATACACACCTAGTTACACAAGCACACACACACACACCTAGTTACACAAGCACACACACACACCTAGTTACACAAGCGCACACACACACACCTAGTTACACAAGCACACACACACACCTAGTTACAAAAGCACACACACACTCACATACACACCTAGTTACACAAGCACACACACACACACTCACATACACACCTAGTTACACAAGCACACACACACACACTCACATACACACCTAGTTACACAAGCACACACACACACACCTAGTTACACAAGCACACACACACACCTAGTTACACAAGCGCACACACACACACCTAGTTACACAAGCACACACACACACCTAGTTACAAAAGCACACACACACACACTCACATACACACCTAGTTACACAAGCACACACACACACACTCACATACACACCTAGTTACACAAGCACACACACACACACTCACATACACACCTAGTTACACAAGCACACACACACACACTCACATACACACCTAGTTACACAAGCACACACACACACACTCACATACACACCTAGTTACACAAGCACACACACACACACCTAGTTACAAAAGCACACACATACACACCTAGTTACACAAGCACACACACACACACCTAGTTACACAAGCACACACACACACCTAGTTACACAAGCGCACACACACACACCTAGTTACACAAGCACACACACACACCTAGTTACAAAAGCACACACACACCTAGTTACACAAGCACACACACACACTCACATACACACCTAGTTACACAAGCACACGCACACACTCACATACACACCTAGTTACACAAGCACACACGCACACACTCACATACACACCTAGTTACACAAGCACACACACACACACTCACATACACACCTAGTTACACAAGCACACACACACACAATCACATACACACCTAGTTACACAAGCACACACACACAATCACATACACACCTAGTTACACAAGCACACACACACACCTAGTTACACAAGCACACACACACACCTAGTTACACAAGCACACACACACACCTAGTTACACAAGCACAAATACACACCTAGTTACACAAGCACACACACACTCACATACACACCTAGTTACACAAGCACACACACACACTCACATACACACCTAGTTACACAAGCACACACACACACCTAGTTACACAAGCACACACACACACCTAGTTACACAAGCACACACACACCTAGTTACACAAGCACACACACACACCTAGTTACACTAAGCACACACACACACTCACATACACACCTAGTTACACAAGCACACACACACACACACACCTAGTTACACAAGCACACACACACATACACACCTAGTTACACAAGCACACACACACACCTAGTTACACAAGCACACACGCACACACACACACCTAGTTACACAAGCACACACACACACACATACACACCTCGTTACACAAGAACACATGCACACACACACATACACACCTAGTTACACAAGCACACGCACACACACACACACACACACACACACACACCTAGTTACACACACACACACAAGGGGTGGGACTAAATAATAAAATGGTACCTGGGCTGTTGTTGTATTGGCCGTCCGGGTTCTACGACCCCTCAAGGTGCTTCACAACACAATCAGTCATTCACACACTGGTGGTGATGAGCTACGATGTAACCACAGCTGCTCTGGGGCGCACTGATAGAGGTGAGGCTGCTCAACATGGGCGCCACCGGTCCCTCCGACCACCCCCAGCAGGCAAGGCGAGTTAAGTGTCTTGCTCAAGGACACAACAGCAGCATTCTCTGGTCGGAGCTGGGATCAAACTTGCAACCTTCTGATTACTGGACAACCCGCTCTACCTCCTGAGCTGCTGCTGTCTGTATTTAACAATGACCCCTCCTTTCCACCGGAGCCGTCAGCAGCACGTTACTGCAGCAGCTGCTGCTTGGCCCCTCCCACGAGACGCGGAGCAGCAGGGGAGCAGCTGCCACCGACCGAGCACGAAGTCACACGAGTGACTTTGTCAGTAAACACAACAACAAGCAGGAGAAAACTACAACATGGCTCCAAAAGTTTTGTGTTTTATGTTCTGTCTGTTGTATTATCGCCAATACGGACCTGAAAAACAAAGGAGACCGCTAGCTAGGTGATAACTTCTCACGGGGCGGCAGTTAGTAACTTTTTTTTAAAGTAAAGCAACCGGAAGGCAGTACGTTTCTTTATTCTGAAAATCTCGGGAGCTTCGCTCCGTTTCCGATTTCCTGTCTTTCCTTCCCCCAAAATGTCGAACTTGACCCGTTTCAGAGGCGTCGGGCGTAGAAAATAGAACCGGCGCGTAAAGGCCGCGACACGCTGCTCCTGAGACGCGGCCGACTCGCGCTGCTGACGGCTCCGGTGGAAAGCGGGGGTCAGAGTTAACAATCCTGCTGCTCCCACTGCAGTTGGCTCCTTCTGATGGTGCTTCCTTCTTCTTTGGTGACATTTTCATCTGAACTCAGCCAGTTGGGTTAGGGTTAGTGTGTGTGTGTGTGTGTGTGTGGGGGGGGGGGGGGGGGGGGGGGTTATAATCTTAGTTGCACTTGTTGTGTGAAAAGTGTTTCATAAATAACATTTAAATAGATTTTATTTGAATGTGTTAATTAATTTCTTACTTATTCACATTTTAATGGTTGGAAATCGCCCATAGAAGTAAAGCCAAACCCACGAGGTCGGTGGCAGCCTCACTCATCCAGCCTTAAGGGTGGTGCAGAGGCGTTTTGCTGCTGAGACTGGAGGCTGATGCGGGTGTGAAAGAGGAGCGATGGTGAGCTGTGTCAGGGCGGAGTAAACGGGGTCATGAGCTGACTGTGAACAGGTGTGTGTGTGTCAGCTTTATTGCTGAGGGTTAGCAGGTGAGGGTTAGCTGCTGACTTTTGGTGACGAATGTCTCCAGGGGGGCGCCCATGACTCTGCGTGTCCTGCCGGAGCGAGACACCCCGCGCTCTGACTCACTGAACTCTTGCAGCGTGCAGCCCTCCCTACTGGAGTTCTGTTTGTGTTGGAGCTTAAGCAACGTACACGCGTTAACTACAGGGCACGCTGCGACCTGTGGGGGAAACCCACGCATGCATGGGGAGAACACCCAACTCCACGCAGAAAGGCAGCAGGCGAGTTTTGAACCTGCAACCTGCAAGGCAACAGTGCTAACCACTGCGCCACCGTGCAGCCCTAGTGCTGCATGAGGGGTCTTGTGTGACGCCCAGGAAGCAGGTCACTCACCTTGTCACACATCTGGCAGGCGAACGGTCTTTCGTTGCTGTGAACTCGCTCGTGTTTTTTCAAGTCTGGAGCTCGAATGAATGATTTCCCACAGACATCACACCTGTAGGGTTTGAATCCCGTGTGGATCTTCAGGTGTTCTGAAACAGACAGATGAAAGTGGAACCAAAATCATGACCTTATTATAAGAATGTTGGATCTTCTCAGTGAGCGAGTGGAACCGCCCGGGAACTGGGTTCAGATCCCAGTCGGGTCAGACCCAAGGCCTCCCTGTCTGGATCGGGGCTTAAACCACAGCTGCAGCTCACCCTCCCCACAGGGATGGCTCAGCTGTGCAGATGGAACTTCACCCGAGTGTGATGACTAATGGGACTGAGTGAGAGGACCTGGAGACAGGTGAGGTGGGCTTTTACCTTTCAGGTGCGCATGAGTGGTGAAAGCTTTGGCACAAATCTCACAGGCGAATGGACGTTCTGCAGAGTGAAGCTTCTCGTGCTTCCTAAAGACAAACATCAGATCAGGAGCTGCTCGTGGTGTTTGTAAGCTAGTGTTACACATTTGTCTCCAGGTGTGCTCATACCTGAGTTTGCTTTCATCCAAGAAGGTCTTTCCACACACCTGGCAGGCGAGCTGATCTCGGTGTCCGTACAGCAGGTATTCAAACTTCATATCGGTGGTAGCCGTGGACCAGCCTGGCGCCTGCTCGTCCTTTACTTCACCCATACTATCAGCAAACGTCAATGTCTGCGTGGCATGATGCTCCGGCCCCAAGTCCTTAGGCCCCGCCTCCATTTCTGCCACCACATCCTGGTCATAACAGGCCACCTGAAGAGTCACACAGGGGATGTTAACAAAGACCAGATCTCCTAGTCGGGCTACAGGTGGACCAGAACAGGCGAGTCAGCAGAAAGCCACAAGTGTGTACCTTGTGTACATCATCATTGGTCAGTTCTTTCAAGATGGCTTCCTGCACATGCAGTGCTGTGTTTGGTGATTTGTCAAGCTCCTGATTGGCTGAAGCCTCAATGAGATCATCAGTGGGCGTGTCTTCATGTTCACCTAAGTCCTGAGCAACAGTAAAGGTCAGAGAAAAGACCTGGAGACGCAGTGATGGCAGGTGATGGATGAGCGTACCTCAGAGTCAGCTGCCAGCTGGGCTTCAGGTGGCAATGCCATCTTTACAATGTCGTACGGAAACTTCTCCTTTTCTTCTGAGGACAAGTCGCGTTTCTGAACACACGCAGACCTTGTTACATCTTACACTCACCTGTCTGACTTACCTGGCTAACACGTCTGTTACCTGAGAGCAGAGCTTGTCCAGGAAGCGGATGCCAAGGATCTGCCCCGATGACATCATCAGATTGACATCTTTCTTCTTGACGGAAATTTTCGCCGTGTACATGTAGTTCAGCACCTCCTCGAAGATGTCTGAGCGGATGAAATCAATCTCAATCACGGATGAGTTGTCCACCTGAGGATGAGTGCAGGTGAGAGCTGTGGCACCTGGACATGCCCACACCAGTATCACAGAGGGTATGGTAGTACCTCATGCTTCTTGAACAGCTTCTTGAAGTAGTTGGAGCACGCCGCAAGGACGCAGCGGTGAGCGCGGAACTTGACGTCTTCAACGACCACAGCGATGTCGCAGTGCTCGCCTTCCAGCCGCTGCTCATTCAGGAGCTTCAGGAAGATGCTCTTGTGTTCATCGTCCACATACTTCACGGTTTCGGCCATCTGACAGCCAGGAAACAGATCAGGTGTTGGTTAAAACTCCGCCTCTCCACACACCTTCAGATCTACTCAGACGCGTTTCACCCTGCAGGCAAAAGCTCATCAAATCCCCACACCTGAGTTTTACGACAGTCTTAACGCAAACATCAGATGTTTTCTAATGCGATCCGGGTCACTGGAATATGTGGTACTGATCCAACACACCTGATGCTTTAGAAAGCTACTGCAGTCTGAACATCCGTCTCCTACATCACCGAGTCAGGTGTGGATGTTCCTGAGGAGAAGCTCTGACTGGAGCGTTCAGGAGGCTGTCTGGACTCCCGGCTTTAGGTTTAGGAACTGAACCTACACGAGAGCATGCAGGTGCTGCTGTAGCGAAGGGCAGGGTGACGCGTTTCACTGGTCTCTGTGAATAAATTAATACCGGAACAGTTTCTGTGAATAATAACTCAGGAAGACGACAGGAACAAGGAGTAAAACCGTTTCCAGCCAGGAATGTGAGGGTTAACAGGATCATCATCACAAGTCCACTCTCCTGGTTTCGGCTCCGCTGAGGGACTTGTCTTCTGAGCATGCGGGTCGCTTTGGGGCCGCGGAGCGTTCACACTGGAGAGTTTGATGTGGAATTCCAGTCATCGTGTTAACGGACAGCAAAATAATCAGATTTACTAAAAAAAAAAAGTGAATTGAGCATCGAGGCCTGCAGCGTGAACGTAGATGTGAGGGGGGCCTAGAGGTAGAGCAGCACTCACACACTGGGCTACAGGAGGTCCTCCTTCATGAACTGATCTGAACATCTATGATGTTCCTGGAGGGCCGGTACTCAGCACGTTTTAGTGGTTTCTCTGCTCAAACACACCTGCTGACTGAAAACAGGTGTGTTGAACAGGGAAAAGACTCAAACATGTGGGAGCGGAGTACACACCTGTGATCTGCTTAATAAGTTAGACAGGAAGTGACATCAGCTCAGGTCAGCGGCACACATTCCTGCTGGACTCTGCTCCTCATGAGAAGTTCTGGTCCCTCATTAGCCAAAAGGTCTGGGTTCTGGAGCCACCCGTACCTGCAGGAGCCGTGTGCGCATGCGCCGAGACTCTTATTGATTATAGATCGGGATCATGTGAAGTCCTGGCGCGCGGTCTGTCGTCAGTAGTTCTCGTGCTTTCTTTTATGAAACGGACGTGCGCACCGGTGCGCGTGCACATGCGATGTGGTGCGGTGCTAGGCAGCAGCCGCTTCCGGACAGGATGATCGATTATTGATCGAAACAGTTCTATCGACCTGGACTGAGCCCCGGTTCTGTTCGGTACCTGACTTAAGCTGCTAGCAGAAGTCAGACTACCGGACCGGACTGATTCGGGACGGCACCAGTCGGCCGGCTCCGGTCTCCTGGTTCGGCTCGCGCTAGTGCTAACATGCTAACTACCGGAACAGGCCCGTTACCAGCCGCTAACGTGTGGTTCGGTTCGGGATTGTTGTCGGTAAGACTCTGAGGCTAATGGACACCCCGGTCGGATGATTCAAAATGGCGTTTTCTTGCTGACTTCCCGTGTCGCGCGCTTCCCGCTACTCCGCAGACCGTTCCCTCAGCCCGGAGAGCCGCGGCCGCGTGCGGCTCTCAGGTCCTCGGGACCGACACGCAGGCACGCGAGCGGCGGCGCCGCGGCCTCGAACCGGACGGAGCTCGAGCAGCTCGAGAGCGCGCAGGCATCCCCGTGATGGTGCGCGGGTCCGAGGAGCGTGCTCTTACCGTGACACTGGTCTTGTGGGTGTGTCCGCGCACCGGGAGCCGCTCCGCTCGGTGTCCGGTTGTTGTTTTTGTTTTATTGTTGCTGCTGGTGACGAGCACTGGTAGGCCGCGCTTTGCGCCAGCACGCACTCACTGCGGCAGCGCGCCAAGCATCCCACACGGAGAGACTGCTAGTACGCATGCGCACTTCTGCTGCGAACAGGCCTCACCGGGTCGGTCCCTGAGTTCTGGGATGCGATCTAAAGACCCCGTTTACACCAAACTCAGCCTCGTTTCAGTGTCATCCATGTAATAATGATGAGCTATGATGTATTGTAGCCACAGCTGCCCTTGGGCACAGAGGCCAGGGCACAGGTCCCTCTGGGATCGAACCTGCAGCTTTCCTCCTGTGTGTGTGTGTGTGTGTGTGGGGGGGGGGGGGGGGGGGTAGGTATGGTTTTTAGGTTTCGGTGCATGCTTAAGGATCCATGTATGAGTCCCCCCAACACACACACCATATACACCAAGTAGTGTGTCTATAGTTATATTGTGATATCTTAGTAAATATTCTATTTGGTGAAAGATAAACGTTATTGTATTTATCCTAGTGGATCTATAATTAAACGGGTAAACTAGTAGTAGCACATTCAACGTCAAGGAAAGCAAAAAGTTATCAGGAGAAGGAGAATGTTTAAGTGGTTAGCAGCAGTGTGCTAGACGATGGCCCCCTCCATGAGGCCACCACAGCTCAGCAGAACATCGTTGTAGCTTCTTCTGGGGAGAAAAACACTTAGAGAGAAAATAAAGTTAACAGCTGAAATAGCAGGAAATAATACAGTTAAAGAGTAGACTGTAGAAGAAAGCAGTAGAGTGTGAAAAGTGGTCAGTGTATCCTCCAGCAGTCTAAGCCTATAGCAGCATAACTACAGAGATAACTCTGGATAATCTATCCTTTTTAGATGGAGGCATGTTGGAGTCAGGGCAAGGGAGAGCCGTCTTTACCGACTGTACACTCCACCTCCCTGTACTCCCCCACTTGTCCAGATTTAGGCTAACATCAGATTTTAACCATAGGCCCTATCAAATAAAAATGTTTTAAGCCTATTCTTAAAAGTAGACAAGGTGTCTGCCTCACGGACTAAAGCTGGGAGCTGGTTCCACAGGAGAGGAGCCTGATAACTAAAAGATCTGCCTCCCATCCTAAGTTTAGATATTCTGGGAACCACCAGTAGACCTGCAGTCTGAGAGCGAAGTGCTCGGTTAGGAACATATGGAACAATCAGATCATTGATGTATGATGGAGCTTGATTATTAAGAGCTTTATATGTGAGAAGAAGGATCTTAAAATCTATTCTGAATTTAACAGGTAGCCAATGTAGGGAAGCTAAGGCAGGAGAGATATGATTTCTCTTTAATATTTTTATCTCTGGGTCTTGTGCACAGGTGAGTGAAAGCTGGAGTACAAGATCAATAGGTGGAACACCTTGGGATCCCCCCAGAAGAGCTGGCCCAAGTGGCTGGGCAAAAGGAAGTCTGAGTCTCTTGACCTAGGCTGTTGCCTCTGCAACCCGACTCCGAAAAAGAAAATGGATGGATTTTTTTGTCATTTTAAATGTTGAGGGGGAAAATTAATGCCATTGTGGCATGACGATGTAATCAACATACAAATTAGTATGTGACATCATCTGGCAATATCTGGGTGACTTTATAATAATAAGGCATTTAATTTATAGGCGCCTTTCAAAACCCAAGGTCACCTCACAAAACATGATAAAACTACACACAAATAAGAATGAGATAATTTAAACAATAAAATTACTAAACGTATGCTATAAATGTCAGAGTAAAGAGTTTGTGGGCTAGAGAGTGTAAGCCAGGTTGAACAGGTGAGTTTTGAGTTTGGATTTGAATGATAGGAGGGAGTCAGTGTTTTGGATGTCAGGAGGAAGTGAGCTCCAGAGCCGAGGAGCAGAGCGACTGAAAGCTCTGTTTCCAACGGTGGTGAGATGAGCGGAGGAACCTAGGTGAATGGCAGAGGAAGACCTGAGTGAGCGTGATGGGACAGCAACATGGATGAGATCGGAGAGGTAAGGAGGGGCGAGACAGTGGATACATTTGTAGGTGAGAAGCAGGATTTTTAATGAGATTCTGTGTTCAGTAGGCAGCCAGCGGAGATGCTGAAGAACAGGGCTGATGTGATCTCTATAGGGGTACGAGTGATGCGTGCAGCAGCATTTTGGAGGAGTTGGAGCCGATGGAGGGATTTATAGGGGGGACCAAAAAGGAGAGAGTTACAGTAGTCAGTCCTAGAAGTGACTAGGCTGTGTACGAGGATGGCTGTAGCATGAGGAGTGAGAGAGGGGCGGAGTCGGTTGATATTGTGTAAATGAAAGTAGGCTGAGCGAATGATGCTGTTTATGTGGGCCTTGAATGATAAAGTGCTGTCGAGGATGACTCCAAGACACTTTACATGGGGGAAGGAAGGATGGAGGAATTTTCGATGTTAATTGATATGCCGGGAGATATGTTCGGCATGGAGGGTTTGCCTATGAGTGGAATTTCGGTTTTATTGCTGTTGAGTTTCAGGAAGTTAGAAGAGAACCATGATGTTATCTCAAGGAGACAGCTGGATAGGGAGACTGGAGGGAAGACAGCATCCGGTTGAGAGGAGATATAGATTTGAGCGTCATCTGCGTAGAAGTAGAAATTTATCTTGTATTTGCGAAAGATACGGCCAAGTGGGAGAATGTAGATGATAAATAAGAGAGGTCCAAGGACAGAGCCCTGGGGAACACCAGCAGAAACAGCAACAGGGTGAGAAGAAAAGGATTTTAATTGAACAGATTGAAATCGGCCAGTGAGATAGGAGGAGAACCAGGCGAGAGCAGTGTGAGTGATACCAAGGGAAGCTAACCGGTTAAGAAGGGTTGAGTGAGAGATGGCGTCGAAAGCTGCACTAAGATCAAGAAGGATGAGTAGAGAATGAAAACCGGAGTCAGCTGCCATGAGAAGGTCATTTGTGATTTTAACAAGCTGTTTCTGTGCTATGTCAAGGGCGAAAACCAGACTGGAACTGTTTATGGGTAAACTTCAGCTGCTTCCTGTTGGAGGCAGGTAACAACACTGCATTATTAGATGACAAAAAAATGAGGATGAGCTATGCTGCTCCATGTGTGTGCAATGTCAGAACAGAGTACTGACACTCCTCCCAGACATTAAGCTTAATTATGTTTTTAAAATGAAACAGGTCTTGCTGTTGAACACATATCAGAAATCCTCCAAAAAAAAAAAAGTTGAAGATGCTCCATTAATTAAGTGCACGTGAGTGTATTTTATGCTCCTTCGCTAACGGTGTGTGCATCAGTGTTTAAAACTTAAATAAAAGTTTTTTCCCCACTTATCTAACTCTGGGAAATATACTAAAAGGCAACATTTCTATTTGGGGTAGAATATCCCTTTAAGAGGTGGGAATTATGTCCAAAACACTAATTTTAGTGTTGGAAACCATTACTGTTGCCTTCAGGGTGTGTGTGTGTGTGTGTGTGTGTGTGTGTGTGTGTGTGTGTGTGTGTGTGTGTGTGTGTGTAAGTATGTATGCATGCATGCATGTGTGTGTGTATGTATGCATGCGTGTGTGTGTGTGTGTGTTTACAGAAACAGGTGTCTCTGGGTTGCCAGCGGAGGGTTACAGCTGTGCTTCATCATAAAGTTGTCTCAAGTCTAAATTGGCGCCTGTGGCTCCTTTTCAACACTATTTTAACTTGCAGTCATTCTGATTATTTAGGTCACCAAGCAAAATTATTATCACTACAGAGTTATTTTAGCACTTTTTACACACAATGCTGGTCGGATGCTGTCAACAGCAAATGAATCTATTCCAGAACTGCGCTGCTCTGGGTGGCTGCATGTTTGAGTAGCTCTGATGACTATAGGTAAGTTTTACCTTTTCTTGGACATTTTTTCTTCTGGCTTCTCAGGTGGAACAATATTTTTTTTTTGGACAGTTTACTTTTCTGTTTCTGGTGCTGTGAAGCTTGGAGGATTTTTACTGCTTTTTTTTAGCGTTTGTTATGATGTGTAACCATGGTAACAAGCTGGTTTACAATCGGGAGCAGCTTATTAACATTGGAAAGGCTGAAATAATACCTCAACCGAAGCCACAAATCCCAAATGAGCTAAAACGCAAGAAGCGTGGGTGCAGAGCGGGAGCAAAACTGAGACAGAGAAAGAGAAAATTCAAACAGTCTCTTCCATCGATCATAATGGGCAATGTGAGATCACTGGCCAACAAGATGGAGGAACTCCAAGCCCTTTCAACGACTCAGTCAGAGTATCACCAGTGCAGTGTTATGTGTTTCACTGAGACGTGGCTGCAGGACCATATCCCAGATTCCAGCATCTCTCTGCCAGGATTCCTGACTGTACGAGCAGACAGAGATCTGAAGAGGAGCGGGAAAAGAAAAGGAGGTGGAGTGGCAGTGCTTGTCAACAACAGATGGTGCCATCCAGGTCATGTTTCAGTGAAATGTCGTCTCTGCAGCCCAGATGTTGAACTCCTGGCAGTAAGTTGTCGCCCATATTATTTGCCAAGAGAGTTCACCAGTTTTGTCTTGGCAACTGTTTATATTCCACCTTCAGCCATTGCTGAAAATGCATGTGATGCCATCAGTTCCATTGTCACTAAGCTACAAACCCAGCACCCCAATGCATTTGTGGCTATATCTGGTGATTTTCATCATGCCTCGCTCTCTGCTACACTTCCAACATTTCAACAGTTTGTCAGCTGCTCCACCAGAGAAAACAAGACATTGGATTTGTGTTATGCAAATGTAAAGAATGCATATATGTCCAAAACAAGACCTCCTCTGGGACAATCAGATCACAATCTTGTTTTTCTCTGCTCAGAATTCAAACCACTTGTTCACAGGCAACCTGTGACAAGAAGAACTGTGAGAAAATGGTCACAGGATGCTGAAGAAGCCCTGCAGAGTTGTTTTGAGACCACAGATTGGATGAATCTTTGCCAAGGATATGAAGAGAACATCAATGCCATGACTGGATGTGTCACTGACTATATAAACTTCTGTGTGGACAATATCATACCCACCAGAACAGCGAGATGCTTCGCTAATAACAAACCCTGGATCACCAGTGAACTGAAGAATCTGCTAAATGAGAAAAAAGAGCCTTCAAGGAGGGAGACAGGGAAATATTGAGGAGTATACAGAAGCAACTGAAGATCAAGATCAGAGACAGCAAGGAGGCATACAGGAAGAAGCTGGAGAACAAACTACAGAGGAACAATATCAGAGATGTCTGGTCAGGGATGAAGAAGGTCACAGGCTTCAAGCAGAGGAAGGATTGCACAGATGGCAGCCTGGGCACAGCCAATGAACTGAACAAGTTCTTCAATAGGTTCAGTTCAGGAACAAACCCAGCATCCTCCTCGCTTGTCCCCAGCCAATCAGACAACCCATCCTCCTCTGATCCACCATTTTCTTGTCACACACCAGCTCTTTTGTCCTCTAACGCAGTCATGGACTCTTCTGGTTCTATAAATCTGTCTTCAAGTCAGGAGAGGCTGCCGCCCCATTTACCTCCCACCTATCTGTCTCTAGAAGTCAGGTGAAGAGGCAGCTGGAGAGACTGAACAGGAACAAGGCTGCAGGTCCAGATGGTGTCAGCCCCAGAGTACTGAAGGCCTGTGCAGAGCAGCTCTGTGGGATTCTGCAGCACCTCTTCAACCTCAGCCTGGCCCAGGAGAAGGTTCCAGTCCTGTGGAAGACATCCTGCCTTGTTCCAGTTCCAAAGAAAACTCGCCCATCAGTCAACGACGACTACAGACCGGTTGCCCTGACATCCCACATCATGAAGGTCCTGGAGAGACTCCTGTTGGTCCACCTGAATAAGCAAACTAGGACATATCAGGACCCGCTGCAGTTTGCTTATCCCCATTGAGTTGGAGTTGAAGATGCCATCATCCAGCTGCTTCAACCAATCCACTGTCATCTGGACAAAGCAGGTAGCACTGTGAGGGTCATGTTCTTTGATTTCTCCAGTGTATTCAACACAATCCAGCCTGATGTACTTTGCCAGAAGCTCCAGAAGACACAGGTGGGGGCCTCAACTGTCGCCTGGATCAAAGACTACCTGACAAACAGACCAGTTTGTGAGGCGGAAGAACTGCACATCAAACCAGGCGATCAGTAACATTGGAGCACCACAGGGGACTGTACTCTCACCATTCCTTTTCACCCTGTACACCTCAGACTTCCAGTACAAATCAGAGACCTGTCATCTACAGAAACACTCAAATGACTCTGCAGTCGTCGGGTGTATTATTCTGAGCTACTACAGCAATCAATTTCCCTCTGGGATTAATAAAGTATTTTTGAATTTGAATATCGATTTAAGCTGGTTTTCCAAGGGTATATTTAGTGCCCTGCCCAAGGGCATAATGAGTTTTAAGCTAGAACCTGCAGCTCTGTGGCTGAGGAGTCCGACCTCTGATCCATCTATCCCAAATTCATTTGCAGCTAGATGATGATGAAAAGCTCTTCTAGGTGTAACAAGCCCAGGGATCTCGACTGCCCGAGGCAGCTGATGTGGGTTTTTGCTCGAGATTTTGTTCCTGCACGTACAAAGGAAGGCTCCCACACCTTCGACACCTCTGGTGGGAGGAGTGGCTTCCATATGGGCCAGTGGGTGTGTTAGCTGATAGTGAGAATGGCTGCACGAGTGTGAAACTCCTCGCTGCGCCCCAAACCTATGGAGGTTAGGACAGAAACAAAGTTAGTCAGCATTTGGCAACAGAGACAAAAGGGTGGCTGACACGAGCTAACTTACCTGGCAGATAAGCTACCACTGAAGTGAGGTGGTTGATTGAAGTGTGCGTTGGGATGCTTGCTACTAGTATGTGACATGAGTGTCATGGCCGCTATCCAGTTAGGACTGGTGTATTGAGATAAGTGCTTGTGAGAAATCTGCTGAGGGTGAATGCCATTCTGACTTTAGAACCAATATCAAGAATGAGAACTGGACACCAGAACTGTGAAAATTATCTTTAATAGCATTTTTGCAGACAAAATTAAGTTAGATTAAATAGTTAATGCAAAGTTAAAGAAATTCCAGTCTAACAAAATCTGAGCTCTAAAACTGGTCCCAGGAAGTGACATCACCATCTGAAACACCCACTTAGGGACAGGTTATAATCTTATGATGGAATATTTTAAAAACACAGAAAATTTTGTCATTTCTTTCTATGCCTAGTCTTAAAATTTAGGTTATTTACCATCCTGAAAAATCCCTGTGGTATGCCTTGGATAGCACCTCCTAAGAAAAAACAAACTAATCCACAAACATGTATTACAGGCACTGCCTATCAGCATGGATCAGATACCAAACAAGCCACTACAGAAACCTAGTCACTGAGGAAGGAGCAGGCCAGCAGCCAATCAGAGCAGCTCGTACTGCCGCAGGTGCATACGCTGAATGATGTCCCGACAGTCGTTGAAGACCCGACGGATGTTCTCTGTGTCGATGGCACAGGTAAAGTGAGGATAACAGTAATGCTTCCCATCACCGCTGGCTGTGCTGATCCTCTGAAACACCAGAGTAAACATGTTAGTTTCAACATGCCAGGGTCTACATGCTGACCTCCACAACATGGCAGCCCAGGTACTGTACCAGAAACTCATCTCTGATGAAGAACTTGGCTCTGGTCACTTTGGGGTCTTCATCAGAATCTGGAAGAGCTGTAAACAAAGAATGAGAAGTGCACCTGACATGTTTGTTAGCACATGCGAGTTCATACTTGTGTTTTTGTTTTTTTTTACCATCAGCAGGAACCTGGTAGTTTTTATATTCTGGAAAATAATCTTCCAGTTTAGATTTTCCTGCCAGTATCTTGTCAGCCAGCACATCCTGTTTGTTCAGAAACAATATCACCGAGATAGTTTTCAGAAACCTACAGCCAATCACAGACCAGGGAGAATTAGCTCCAGCCAATAATAGAGCAGAGAGCATTACCAATCAGAGAAGAGGGTGTACTGATGCAGTACCTATTGGTCCAGATAGATCTGAACAGATCCAGGGACTCTCGGAGTCGGTTGGTGGAGTTGTCCTCTCTGATCACCATGTTGTAGCTGCTGCTGGCTGCCACAAAGATGATGGCCGTCACATCTGGAAGGCCAGAACATACACAAGAATGGGTCCAGGTTCCATTGGAGAGACATTTAACTCAACATGTGTGGTTCTCACCATTGAAACATTGGATCCACTTCCTGCGCTCGTCCCTCTGACCCCCTACATCAAACATACTGAAAAATACCTCCAGTTAGACCATATTTATCTGGACCAGACTGGCTGGACGTGACACCGAAACCACAGTGGCCCCAGCTAAACTCATAATTCAGACCACATGAAGGACGCACTGGAAGTTCACTTTGTCCACCTGGAACCTGGTTTCAAAGATCCCAGAAGTCAAAACCCGACAGCGCAATAAATCCTGCAGGAGGAGAAAAAATGTGAGGTGGAATCTTCCAAGATGCTGCAACCTGACGGGTTGGTGCTTTACCTGGTCAGTGGGGGTGTAGTCGTTCCTCCGGATGGCGCTCAACCGGTCCAGGAAGCTGGAATAGAGAAGAGAACCTCTTGCTGGTCTTGTTGTCGCTTCTCCAGTTGTTAGCTGAGCTAACTCTGCTGTGACCCCCCTCATCCACGTTTACCACGTTGCATCCCTCAGGTGTGTGTGTATACACACACACACACACACCTTATGATTATGAGTTGAAGCCCTAACCCACTATCGCCCCTAGAAAGAGTATGGCTCTAACAGGCAGTGGCTTCTGCCATGTCAGAAGGAACCACTTCCACCTCCTTTAAGGAACATCATGAAATAAAACTATATATTTTATTGTCCCACAGTTAGAAATCTTTGGCCTAACAGCTGTTGTGGCATGGATCCTTCATGTTCCGCCCAGGCACCGTAGATACCTGGGTGGAACATAAAGGATATATAGAATTCCCATCTCACCCTCTGCAGGTGGTCTAATCCTTCCCAGCTCGGGTTCTCTTCCAGAGGCCTTGGAGCTTGAGGGTTCTGCAGTATCTTAGCTGTTCCGAGAACTGCTCTTGTCTGGACAGAGATGTCTGATGTTTTTCTGGGATCTGCTTCAGCCACTCCTCCAGTCTGGGGGTTACTGCCCTGATGACCATGGGCACCACCGATGTCTTCACTCTCCAGGCTATCTCAAGTTCTTCTATGAAGCCCTGGAATCCCTCTAGTTTTTCATGTTCCTTTTTCCTGATGAAGCATCACGTGGTATTGCCACATCAACCACAAAAGCTGTCCTCTGTTTATCCACCACCACAATGTCTGCTTGGTTTGCCATCACCATTTTAGCAGTCTGGGTCTGGAAGTCCCACAGGATCTTATACACACAATTAGTCCCCACACTTGTAAGGAGCGTGCTACAACCACCACTGCCTCCGCCCTGAACCAACAGCTGAGAATAATGACAATCAGTGGTTGGGAGAAAAGGACGCCGACAGCTTTAAAGACATTTTGGAACAGACCCTTGGGGTCATTTTGGTTTAATGAGTTCACTGTCGGTGAAGAGAAGTCCCTGTTTTGGCCACAGTGGTGTCTATCTGAAAAGATAAAAGAGTAAACATATTTGGTTTTGTATTGTATTATCACCCAGTTAGCTATCCCCGAAGACATCGTGTTGTTTCTAGTGTACTTTTGTGTAAACGTTTATTGTTGAGGTCAGAGATGTCTGACAGAGTGCCAAGAAATCTCCTTTTCATCTGACTTCACCTCTTGGTCCAACACAGACCTTAAAAGAGGGATATTCTTGATTTCCAGCCAAAATGCTAAATCAAGCCAGGTCTCAAAATAGAACACATTTTATCAGCCCAGAACCACCTTTTTCAGAACCAAACCACTATTTTGTCTCAGTCATACACCAATGCCCCCCTTTTTATAGCTTTTTGCCCCTCGATCAAGGAAGGAGTTGACTGCGCTTCCTGGACTCGGCCGTTCCTTTGCCGCGCCCTGGCGATGGTTGGACCCGCTAGTGCCTTGTCTAGTGCCATTGGTGGGCGGGCCTGTCTTGTGGAATCCTTTCACTGTATCAGGGTACATCTATTCCCAGTGAGCTGTGCTGGATCTGGGCCTGACTCTGCGAGAAAGCCTCCACGTGACACTCGGATAGAGCTGCTGAACGGTACCCAGCTTGGTCTGATCAATGCCAGGTCTGTGCTGAATAAGACTTTTATTCTGAAAGAGTTTTTTAATCGACCATGAACTGAGTTTTATGTGCATCTGTGAGAGCTGGATTTCTCCGGGTGACTCCAGTGCGCTGGTAGAACTTGTTCCAGTGGGCCGTAACCGTTTTATGGTTCCAAGAACACCAGGCCGAGCTGGAGGTCTGGTTGTTGTTTATAGGCAGCTCACTCCTTCTGTGATACCTGCCTGTTTGAAGTTGGCCCATCTCCTCGACTACTCGTGGAAGTGATATATCGTCTTCTGAAGTATGACTGAACTTCTGAAGGATTTTTATGACTTTGTTGTGGACAGCCTGCTGAAATATGATCATGTTTTACTTCTTGGTGATTTTAATATACATGTTTGTTGCCCTGATAACCTACTTTCCAGAGACTTCTAGGACTAGTTAGGCTCTTTTAATCCCACACAATGGGCCGTTTATCTCATGTTAAAGGGCACATGTTGGATTTGATTCTTTCTTTTGGTCTAACTGCTGTTGAGATCATCCCGTCTACATTTTCAGACCCCTCACCTGTTCTTTGTGATTTTATTTGGCCTTCCTTCCCTGCTGTGAAGGATAGTGAGCCTAGGAGGTGTCGTGTTTTAAATGCAGAAAGGGTTGCAGAGTTTGCTGCTCTTTTAACTTTAGAAGAGGAGAGACTGAACTCTGTGTCTCTCAACACTGAGGAGTTCTCTCGTCAGTTTGATGTGCTCTGCAGAAACATTTTGGACTGTTGCCCCTTCCAAGGTCAGGAAGCCTAGCCAAGGTAGGGAGCCCTGGTTCTCTGATGCTACTCGTGCGTGCAGGCTGCAGAAAGGCAGTGGAAGAAGGATGGTCTGCAGATCTCTCGTGACATCTTTCGAGGATCCTTGGCTACATACCAAGAAGCTGTGCGGAAGGCCAGGATAGCATATTTCGCTGACCTAGTCTCTGCTAATTCACATGACCCAAAACACTTTTTCAGCACACTGAACTCTGTGTTGGAACTTCAAGACCCTGACTTAACTCCTTCCAAGGCTGGTGACTGTTATGATTTTCACAAGTTTTTTGTTGAGAAAATATCTATGATTAGATCGGCAATGTCGGGTGCTGTTTGTGAGTCTATGCTGCCTGCCATGGCTCGTGCCACATTGGCATCTTTTGACCCAGTCTCTCTAGCTGAGTTGGGAGGTTAGTCACTCATCAAAAGCCTGCTGGCTCACCTCTCGACGTCCTGCCATCTTGCCTCTGTAAGGAGACCCTCTCCACACTGGGTCCATTTATTTTAACTATTATAAATGGTAGCCTGCACTCGGGTTCTGTTCCATCTTCAATGAAAGATGCAGTGGTCGTACCGATACTAAAGAAGTCAGGTTCTGACATGTCTGTTCTGGAAAATTATCGGCCCATCTCCAAACTTCCTTTCATTTCCAAACTATTGGAAAAGGTTGTCTATCAGCAGCTAATGTCTTTCTTGGATGATTCTGATATATTTGAGATTTTCCAATCTGGTTTTAGGGCTGGACATAGCACAGAGTCTGCACTGTTGATGGTTTGAAATGACGCCTTTATAGCCATGGACCAGGGAGCAGCTGTGGTACTGTTGTTATTGTACCTAACAGCAGCCTTTGATATGGTTAACCATGAGATTCTGCTGGATCGCCTGGAGCAATGGGTGGAAATCACAGGGTCTGCCCTTCAGTGGCTACGCTCTTGTCTTTTGGGTAGGAGGTTCCGTGTCATGGTGGGTGATGCTGTGTCACCTTGGGAAGACTTGCAATGGGGAGTACCTCAGGATTCTGTCTTGGGGCCACTACTATTTTCTCTTTATTTACGTCTGCTGGGGACTTTTCAGTGTAACGACAATGTTAAGTTTCATCTGTATGCAGATGATTGCCAGATCTATGTTCTGGTTTGTCCAGGAGAGTGGAGCTCCATTGTTAATCTCCTGGCTTGTCTAAAGGATGCCAAGTTATGGCTAGCAGCTAATCACCATCACGTGAACGATACAAAGACTGAGCTTATTACATTTCTCCCTAGTGAACCGAGTGTGAGTTCTGCCTCTGATCTAGTTGCCCTCTCACCCTAAAAGAAGCCAGTTGTCACCAGCCTGGGGGTGAGCTGGATGCAGCACTCAAACTGGAGTCTCACATTATTATGGTTGTAAGGGTCTGCTTCTTTCACCTGCAACGGCTGACAAAAATCAAGCTCATGTTGTTCCGAGCACATCTGGAAGTCAGTGCTCCACGCATTTGTTTTTTCTAGGCTCGACTACTGTAACGCTATATGTTGGGTAGAGCCAGGCAGTAATGAATCATCTCCAGTTGGTTCGGAACTCGGCAGCCAGGTTTCTGACAGGGACGATGAAATTAGCACATATTACTCCTGTGCTGACATTGTTACACTGGCTTCCTGTAGTCTTTCAGGTGACATTTAAGGTCCTCTGCTTTGTCTACCATTCTCTATATGGTGGTGCTCCACCATACTTGGCAGCACTATTAACATCGCCCACCCCATCATGACCTCTACGCTTGGCTGAGCTAGAGCTACTGACTGTTCCTCACTCCTGGTATAGATTGAGAGGAGATCGGGCTTTGTCAGTCTTAGCTCCATCCCTCTGGAATGAGCTGCCACTCAGCATCAAACAGTCACCCTCACTGCATGTCTTCAAGAGTCGCTTGAAGACTAATTTTTATCGTTTGGCTTTTATGTGACTTGGCTTTATGCTTCTTATACATATACAGTTGTGGTCAGAAGTTTACATACATTTGTAAAAAATATAATATAATGGCTCTACTGAGTGTCCCGTTATTTCTAAAACTCTGATTTTTCTCTGATAGAGTGATTGGAACAGATACTTCTTTGTCACAAAAAACATTCATGAAGTTTGGTTCTTTAATGTCTTTATTATGGGTTAACAGAGAAAAGTGATCACATTTGCTGGGTCACAAATATACATACAGCAACATGAACTAGCAATTTAGGTGACTTAGAAACGTGTCAGTGAACTGAGCTTCATAGCATGGCCTCTTAACTTCTTGTGAGTGATTATGAGTGACTACAGCTGGTGACTTCTCTTAGGCCAGGTAAATAGGGCTCATTGGATACAAACTCCCACAAACGCTACAATGGGAAAGTCAAAGGAGCTCAGCATGGATCTGAAAAAGCGAATTATTGACTTGAACAAGTCAGGAAAGTCACTTGGGGCCATTTCAAAGCAGCTGCAGGTCCCAAGAGCAACAGTGCAAACAATTGTTTGTAAGTATAAGGTGCATGGCACTGTTTCATCACTGCCAAGATCAGGAAGAAAACGCAAGCTATCACCTGCTGCTGAGAGAAAATTGGTCAGGAGGGTAAAGAGGGAACCAAGAATCACCAAA